AAATTATATAAATTTTGCTATATGGCCATTGAATGATCACTAAGATTTCAAATTGTCCAGTGCAATTTGCTCTGAACAAGATGGATATATAAGAGGCTAAGAAGCTGGATTTTCATTCATCGCACACCCTCGTAATACAGTACCAATTAGATGGTCAAAGCAACATATTTTCTTGAGAAGAAGAAAAGAGGCGCAAATTTACAAATTGCAGCCTACTGACAAAATGAAGTGCGCAGCACCTTGATGCTGAAAAAAAAAACTTTTGAGCAATGATGGTAGACATGGTAAAAAAAAACATTTTTTAGCAATGCTGAATGGACTACCCACCCTAAACAAATGGGCCTTCTTACACCTGGGAAATAAATGCCACTGGGCCAAGTAGAAGCGCCGTCGGCCCACAGCCCGTCCCACGGCCCTCGTCCATTCGCACGCCGCACCTTTTCACCGCAGTCCTCACTCTCTCCTCAGATTCAGAAGCAGCGGCATCTCCGTCGCCGTCGCCGCCGCCGCCGCCGCGCCTCCACGGAGCTCTGCCCTCGCCTGCACGCCTCTCCTCGATCCCGGCCTCCGCCTGTCCCCGTGCACGCCCACGAGCCCCTGCCCTGCACTGCGCCTCCCGCCCCCGGGCCCGGTCCTTCCTAGGTAGGTAAGCACGCACCCACCCTGCATCTCCGACGGTCGAAGGCTCATTATGCTTTATTATGTGCGCGGGTGCCCTTCTGCTAGATCCATTTCAATGTCCGCTATAATTGTTGATAGCATGATGAGAGGAAACCAATTTTCAGCTGTCCATTGTCTGCTATATGCTGCTCTGTTCAGGGCAGGCTCGTGTGTTACAATCGTTAGTGTCTGAGGCAGTAGCGCAGCAATATATCCATGTCCACATTTTAGATGTATACTTGGTGAAAGTAGAGGCAGTGCCATAGCAGTATATATGCAACTACAGATCTTAGATCCATGCTTGCTGAAAGTAGGGACAATGGCATAGCAGTATATGCTTGTGCGCATCTTACATTTATTATAGTTGGTGAAAGTAGAGGCAGTGCCAGGAATTGTTTTCTCAGTGCACCCCGGAGATTCTGAGCTGAATGTCGCTTCGCAGTGGTGTGCCGTGCTTCCTAATCTACGTAGTACCTACGGCTCATGTCTTCTGAGATCAGACTTTGCTTTGAATTTACATAAGAAATGCAAACCATGTCTGAATCTTCACTGGTTGTAAATATCATTGTTCCAAAATATCGGCCAGTTAATCGGCACCTCGGTCAGTTAATCGCAACTCGGTTGGTCACCGAATAACCGATTAATTGATTTATCGGACGATTAACTGGAAAATTCACCTATTTATCCCTACTCAGCACCTGACCGATATGGTACCAGTTACCAATATCCTGAAATTGAAATATTATGACCCTGCATTACATCACTAGCTCCTAACGCATTTTGTTTTTCTGTCTGATCCTGTTGTAAACATTGGGGGTTCATAGCAGCCTGCCTGAGTGTCTCAACTGAATCAGAATTTCACAAGTCTTTGTACCTGTTTCCCCTCTCCTCATCTTACTTTATACTGATTCTTCTGCTGGGCCAGCTCCAGAATGGGTCTCCTCAGCATCATCAGAAAAATCAAGCGCAAGGAAAAGGAGATGCGGATTCTCATGGTGTAAGCGTCCTGCTCCATTCCTTTTTTGCCTTCTTATTTTACCCCAGATTCCTCCTATCCAAACGGACTATTATTCTTGGTTCTTTGGTTGATATATATGCTTCTTGACTTTCAAGGTTTGTGCCATTCAGTTCTTTGTTCTTCTTGATTGATTTATTCCACGATGTCAAATTTTCAGTGGCCTGGACAACTCGGGTAAGACGACAATTGTGCTCAAGATAAATGGGGAGGACACCAGTGTCATCAGCCCTACTCTTGGCTTTAATATCAAAACCATCCAATACCAAAAGTATGTACTATAGTCATTTTTCATTTATCAAGTTAATTATGCCAGAAATCGAAAGGTTGTTCCAACTGATGTTATACTTGATCATTCCAACTCTGTATTATGTCTAGCAAAATGCCAGTTGTATTAACTAAAGGGTTCTGGGAAATTCCATTGTAACTTTTGGTTGATCATTCCAATTTTAAGGTATATCTACAGAATGGCACCTGTATTAACTAAGGGCGTTCTAAGAGATTTCATTGTAATTTTAGCACATCCATAACTAATTAACTATGCATGTGCCACTAGATAGTACTGCTTGCTATGCTAGATCATGTCTCCTGACTGTTGCAAGTATGCCATAGATTCTGTTAAGTCAAGGGCACCCTAGTCTTTGTAGTTGCATAAGATAATTGGAGGAACAATCTTGTAATCTGAGCTTGTTGTTTGGAAGTTTAGTGATTAATCAATACAATTTCAACAGCTTTAGATAATCTGATACAAATTACTGCTTGGTGGAGAAAATTGTTGTGTAGTCCTTCAGCTAAAATTGACCGAAGGTTGTCCAGTAGTATTCGAGCTGTGCAGCTAGGTTCTTGGGGAACAGCTAAGAGAGGGAGACGTCCATAGATATGTTTGGGAATGTTGCGAGTCATATTGCTCCACAACCACAATCATCAAAGTGTACTTTGGCGTCAATGTTTTTATGTGGGAAGAGCAGAGGACACTATTAAAATTCAACACTGATGCAGCACAATTTTAATGACTTTTGGTGATCTGATCAGAAAATTGACAGTTTTAGAGACAGAGTAGGACAACTGTGACACCAAATGGCACAATCAGATGATATGATGGTCCATTTGAGTTTTTTTTTAGGTCCACGTTAGTCAGCATCTGTTGTTTTTCAGCCAACTATGAAGCAAGTTGTGCCTAGATAGGTGGTTGTACTTTTAGCGTTTAAAGTAGGCAATGCAATTGATGATCTGCTTTAATCTGAGAAACTAGTAAATCATATTGGTGAAAATACAACATATTTTGGCCCAAATTTCAGTTAGCGTCTGTTGTTTTTCAGCCTACTATGAAGCAAGTTGCGCCTACATCGGTGGTTGTACTTTTAGCATTCAAAGTAGGCAATGCAAATTCTAATCCGCATTAATCTGAGAAACTAGTAAATCACATCGGTGAAAATACTAGGTATTTTGGCTAAAAAATTACAGCTGCTTGATCCCTGATGCCCATCACTCAGGAATCATGGTGTTCAAAAGCTCAAAATGCATTTAGTAGTCATAGGGAACAGCAGAACAAATTGCCAACAAATTGATAATGTTGTGATTGTGGCAGGTACTCGCTGAACATATGGGATGTTGGGGGGCAGAAGACCATCCGTTCATACTGGAGGAACTACTTCGAGCAGACTGACGGTCTCGTTTGGGTGGTCGATAGTTCCGATGTTCGAAGGCTCGATGATTGCCGTGCGGAGCTCCATAATCTTCTGAAAGAAGAGGTAAACCGCCTAGTGAATACCACTGATCATCCACTTTAGCGTAATTCGTCTTGGTTTTTTTGCTTTGAATAACTTCACTGAAAACTAGCAAAAGATAATGTTTGCTGTTTAGCATCAGGAAACTCTTGGGACTACAAATTTGGTTACCTAGCATGTTTGTGCTTAATTTATGTGCTATCTTGTTCAACTATTGGAGTGAGCCTTCAAATTTCTGTTGCAGAGACTGGCTGGATCATCGTTGTTAGTTTTTGTTTAGCATCAGGAAACTCTTGGGACTACAAATTTGGTTACCTAGCATGTTTGTGCTTAATTTATGTGCTATCTTGTTCAACTATTGGAGTGAGCCTTCAAATTTCTGTTGCAGAGACTGGCTGGATCATCGTTGTTAGTTTTCGCAAATAAGCAAGACATTCAGGGCGCTTTGAAGCCTGACGAAATCGCCAAGGTAAAACACACTAGTCAAGCAGTATGTATATGGACCCCCATATATTGGTCTATCTTCGTACCTGGAGCCACATGGTCATCTTGTGATCTTTGCTTTAAGGACAGTCAAAACGGAAAATAATCCTAGCATATACATACAAGTTTGTGGTCTTTGCTTCATGATGATTTAAAAAAAACTAATAATTGGCATGTTGTTTAGTGTTCTTCGAGTTTGATGGTAACCGGGTGGAGTTTTTGGATCCAGGTTCTGAATCTTGAAGTGATGAACAAGGACCGGCACTGGAAGATCGTCGGCTGCAGCGCCTACACAGGCGACGGCCTGCTCCAGGGCTTCGACTGGCTGGTCCAGGACATCGCCTCCCGCATCTATGTCCTCGACTGAAACAACAACCAAACTCTGGACATTTAGCCATCTGCACTACTGTTATTGGTTACACCGCCATAGGCATGCTGCTGCTGCTGCTGCTTCGGCTACCTCATGTAATCCGATCAAGTTTGAACCAAACCATAGATGATGAAACTTTTGTTATGCACTCTCATTGAGCTCTGCGTACTGCAATCGTCAGTTGTGATAGTGTTTCAAGTCTGAATGGGATGCACATCGCAATATTTTATATTACTCGCTGAAATGGCAGCAAGCTTGGTGCGATCTGTTGCTTAAACAGAAGGTCTACTAGAACATTTCACTAGATCTACAATATGCTTGCTTGAAGAAAAAGATAATGGATGCTTCATAACGAAAGAGAGAAAAGAATAAAAGCATGAGGACACATAGGAGGATATTTCGCAGCTATCACTTGCATTTTCTTCATCCATTTAAACTGAGTTCAAACATAGGATTCCAACATCACATCCCAATCCATGACAGAAGGGATTGCTGCATCACCGACGAACACGACCGACCGACCGACTGAAAGATAACACATGTTGTTTCTTCCTCGCGTAACCAGCTCTAATTAACCCCGGACAGAGCGACACTCGAGCTCGCGATCAAAAACACCACAGGACCGAACGACACACACGACTCAAGACTGACTGACACAGGAACACGACGACGACGACACTGAAGATAACTTGATGACGAAGACGACGAGATGGTAGATAGATCGATAACTGGAGGGCCCCGCCGCTCAGTTCCTCCACTGGCCGCCGGAGTCGCCGCCGCGCTGGCCGCCGTAGCCACCGCCGCCGCCGCCGTAGCCGCCGCCACCACGCTGGCCGCCGTAGCCACCGCCGCCCTGGCCGTAGCCGCCACCGCCGCCCTGGCCGTAGCCGCCGCCGCCCTGGCCGCCGTAGCCGCCACCGCCGCCGCCGTAGCCTCCGCCACCGCCGCGCTGGCCGCCGTAGCCGCCGCCGCCGCCCCCACCGCCGGAGCGGCGGGACTGGGCCTCGTTGACGGTGATGTTGCGCCCGTCGAGCTCCTTGCCGTTCATCTCCTCGATGGCCTGGCGCATCGACTCCTCGCTGCCGAACGTGACGAAGCCGAACCCACGGGACCTCCCCGTCTCGCGGTCGTTGATGATCTGCACGCACGCACAAAACACAAACACCACACCAGATCCGGTCAGATCCGCCACACAAACCCCAGATCGGGTCAGATCTACAGCCCACGACGCGAAATTCGAACGGATCGGAGCAGATCGGAGACAGGGGTTGGTCGGTCGGTTACCTTGGCGTCGAGGATCTCGCCGTACTGGCTGAAGGCCTGCTGGAGGTTGTTGTCGTCGGTGGCCCAGGCGAGGCCGCCCACGAAGCAGCGGTACTCCGTCTCCGCCATGGATCTCCCTTCCTCTCTACCGAAACCCTAGACTAGGCTAGCTACTCGGCCTCTCTCTCGAACCGAACCCGAACCGAACCAGAACCCGAACCGGAAGGGGAGGAGAAGCCAACCCCGAGAGCGATGAGGAGGACGCTGCCCCGCCGGGGGCACGCATTTATAGCGGTGGGTGGCCGCCCGGATCGCATCGGGGGCGCGCCCGCGCGTGCGACGGGGCCCACGCGTCAGCGGGCGGGCGGGTGAGGATGCGGGTCTCGGGGTTTGGAATATGCGGGGCCGGGCAAGTGGGAGTGGGTGGCCGCGAGATATTTCCTTCCCCCGCTACGCGCACGCCGCTGCCGCGCCTCGAGTCTTCCTTTCCAAGACAACGAATGGAAAAATCTGGGTTTGCTTTCCCCTGTAACTAACCCTATTAAGGACAATGCAAGAAAATTTTAGGTCTGCTTTTTTCTTCCCAAAAATAACCACAACAAATCTTGAGAAAATCATTCAAGGGTATGAGCTGCATTAATTCCCCTAATCTTTCTATTACTTGCCAAAATTCTTGTATTAGATTTGTCTAAATACGAATGTATCAAGCCACGTTTTACTATTAGATACATCTGTATCTAGACGAATCTAAGACAAGAATTTTGGGACGAAGGGAGTAGTATACTATACATGGTCATGGGAAACCCGGCCCGGCCCGGTCTTGCACGCGGGTCGAGCCTAGGCTTGAAATCTGAGCCCGAATGTCGGGCGGGGCTTGAATTTTTGCGTTTTAGGCCTGAGGCTCGACGGGGCGTTTCCTCTGATGGGTCGGGCCTGGGCCTAAAATCTAGGGCTAATGGCCGGGCTGGGTCTATGTTTTTTTGCTACGGGCTTTAGTAGGACTGGCTCGAAGCCTGGTCCGGCCCGACTTATGGCCAGGTATGGTGGGTACAAATAACTGGTGTCCTTTTACGTTGCAAGCTGGTTTTTTAAAAATAAAAAAAACTCGTAGTCCGCCAATCCATCGATTCCAATCTTGGGTACCTTCTTCTAATCCAGCTCATGGAAGCGTGCAGTGTCTGCCTTGCTCTAGCCGGAGCCGCCGCGCAACACCAATGAAAATTGTTGTTTTGCTTCCTCGGTGGCGTGGATGTGAAATGTTTAGCGCAAAAAAAGAGTAGTCAATGCGGTGATTCAAAACGTTTGTGGATAGATGCTCGCTATACATGCCTCGTGCGATAAGGCGTTTAGAACGTCGTTTTCTCCTCAATTGCTTGCCTCACATCCATCGGCTTCGTGTTTGCGAAGATGGATGCTAGCTCTGTGATGCCGCCAAAATTGCAGCGCCAAGCCTTGTGTGCGTCATGTTTCTTCTGTTTACTTCCTCTCCTACGGTCACCCTCCTCTCCCACGTTCCTATCCATCCGTGAGATGTCAGTCTTGGAGGACTGCAAGTCCGTAGTAACAATGGTCTAGGCCAACTCCAGCGATTCCCAAGTCGTCCCAGTCGGGATCCCTTCCTCAGTTGCCTCACATCCATCAGCTTCGTGTTTGCGAAGATGGATGCTAGCTTTGTGATGCCACCAAAATTGCACCGCCAAGCCTTGTGTGCGTTAGGTTTCTTCTGTTTACTTCAACCAAATCGTGTGGTGAGTGTGGCAGAGCACATAACCTAGCGGGACCTAATCTAGCCATGAGCCATTAGGCAGATGTTACTGATACAAAGTGTCCCAAATACTTTAAACAACATTCTTTGCATTTTCCATTCCTTAGACCCCGTCGCTTGAGGCACGGACCGTGGCAGCCGCATTCCATCCGGTGCAAGAAAAATCCATGGGCCCTCTTTGACTCACATGATTCTAAAAATGCGGTAGTAGAAAAAACATATGATTGAAATGCCATGCTCATCTCAACCCACATGATTTTGGGCTGTTTGATTGCATCATAGAAAAAAAAACAAAAAAATTCTTTCGGAGCGGTTTGGGTGGATGGTTTATAAATCCTATGCGAAGTAGTACAGAGAATTCCAAAGAAAAAACTCCTATAGGATTCAATCACGTGAATCAAACAATCAACATAAGAATATTTATAAGGACTAATCCTTCAAAGTTTCTATGGAAATTTGTTTGTATCAAGGGAAAAGATTATAATCATCCGACGGATCCAATGCCAAACGTCTGCCGTCTCTCCTATGCGCCACGTGCCCACGTGAGCCTGCACCACCACTCTAATTTTTCCTTCTTATCTCCAACAAACAGATCCCATCCACATCTTTCTTTCCCAACCTCTTCTTCCACCTCCACTGCATCAAACCAAACGTTGTGGCTCCGCCACCCGCGCCCGTCCTCTTCTCCTCCCTCCTCCTTTCCATCTTTCCTCTGTGAGGCACGCCACTGCCGGAGCACCGTGTCACCGTCCTGGAGGAGCACTGGTGTGGATAGGCATGGCTGCCGCTTCCTCAAGGTCAGCTACAAACGTCGGTACCGCATGCAGCAGCAGTTCCTGTAACAATGGTGTTATTGTAATGGTGGCTGGGACGAGGTGAAGTTTTCTGCATCATGTTCTTTGTTGGGTAAAATTGCAACAAGGGGTTTGTTGCAGGAATACAAAGAAGAGGTAAGAGATGTTGCTGCAAATTTTGCAACAATGGTCTTTTGAAAGAATACAAAGAAGAGGTTGTAGATATTGCAAATTTTGCAACTGAGATCTTGTTGCAGGAATTAGGTTCGCAACAAGAGTCTTGTTGCAGGAAAAAGGAGAATAAATTTTGCATCTGGGGTCTTGTTGCACTTGTTGCAGGAATTAGGTTCGCAACAAGAGTCTTATTGCAGGAAAAAGGAGAATAAATTTTGTAACTGGGTTGTGTTGCAGGAATTAGGTTCGCAACACGAGTCTTGTTGCAGGAAGTAACGGGCGGAGCTGTGTCTGGACGGCGGCGTACAGGGGATTATGTTTCTGAAACAGAACGCCTGTTGCAGGAAGTAACGACCTGATCAATTGCAGGTGATGGTTGCATCCGACGGCTGTCAAGTGTCTAATCAAATGGCTCTTGGGATGACGGATGTTTCTAACACATCCGTCGGCGGACGCGTAGCGGCGCCCTTTATCAAAGGAGCCCAGAATCACAACCATAAGAAATCACAATACGCAAATTGTTCATTATCATATATATATATATATATATTTTTGAAACCGGCTACCTGCACGAATCGAAGAGTCACGCACCACGGAACCAGCCTGAGGCCAGGTCGGGCAGCGAAAGTCGGGGGACTCGGAGCGAAGCAACCGGGCGGGGCGCCGATCCCTAGGCGCAGAGCGCCGTGCCCCACGTGACGTGGCCCGGGGCACAGGCTGCCCCCGCACGCCCTCTCTCCGCGCCCCTATCGTATCGCGGAGGCCTGGAAGAAAACAATAATATCTCGGCGCGGGAAATGACGGCCATGCCCCTGAGGCCCTCCCCGTGAAAGTGAAAACCCCGTCCAGTCCCGTCCGTCCGTCCAGCCGGAGCGGAACGGAAACCGGCGCGCACGTCGGCGTCGTGGCCTCGTGGGTGGGTTGCTTAATCGGTCTCCTCCTGGCGATGGGACGGGATTTGGTTAACTAATCAGCGGCGGATGGATTGGATTAGGCCGGTGAGGTGTCACTCGCTGCTCCACGTCGCTGTCGCGTGATGGGACGGAACGGAACGGAACGGGCGGGTGCTTGCTTGATGATTGATCAAAACGGGACAGCGAGCGATGGATCCATGGGCGTGTGGATCGGGTCAGGTCAAGGGTGATCGAATCTCGTTCCAGCAGCTGCAGGTTAAACAAACGATTATACGGCCCAAAAGCTAAGCCCACAAATGGTGATGATTCTTTGGAGGAAGGGCGAGGAAAAGGAAAATGCGAAGCGATAATTTAGAGGCAGTAAGAGGAATGGGAATAAGAAGCAAAAATGTTGAGAAAATGGCCAAAAAAATGAGGTCCCACCGAGACTTGAACTCGGGTTACTGGATTCAGAGTCCAATGTCCTAACCACTAGACCATGGGACCATTTGGTGCACAGGGCTGAGATGTTGACTTACTTATTGTGTTGTCCAGCCCCATTGACTGATTCCAAATGCATTACCCAGCGCCATCGATCCAATTAGCTAACTGTTGGTCAAGACAGGAATGTCTAAACTCACTTGTCTGATTCAAAAAAGCTCTGCTGATTTAGTCACGCAGCAAACAATATCTTGGTGTGAACAAGGATGCAAATTGTATACTGAGATTATCTGCATCATCGGCAGATTAATGTGTGAACCAGTTAGTTAGCAATCAGCACAAAAGAGGCGATTCAAGTTTGAATCATTATGGATTAGAGCAGAAGGATTCATGGGCGTGGTTAAGTTGGCATGGAGCTCAACGCCTGCAACCTCGAATGACTACCTTACGCCGCAAAACAAGTTGAGAGCAACTGCGGTGAGCCTCCGTAGGTGGAGCGATCGTTGGATCGGCGATGTAAACCTGCAGATTGCCATCGCACTTGAAGTCATTAAACAACTTGAATACTTGATACCGCTATGGAGGGTAGAGCTTTGTCGGATTCTGAGAGGGAGCTGCGGAAATGCTTAAAGAAGAAGCTCCTTGAGTTGAGCTCTCTGGAGAGGACGATTGCTAGGCAGAGGTCAAGACTACTGCAGTTGCGTGAGGGTGATGGAAACACCAAGCTATTCCACCAGCAGGCCAGCCACAGGCAAAGGAAGAACATCATACGTACAGTTAAGCACAATGGAAATATATATATGTTGGGCAGGACGAGGTTGCGTCGGCAGTGGACGCTTACTTTGGCGCGGCTTTTGGTGCCTCGGATACTCGGAACCATACGCTTAACTTGGATGTGTTGGGTCTGCTACATCTAGACCTATCGCACCTTGAGCTGAAGTGGAGAAGGTGATCAAGAGCATGCCCCTGGATAAAGCTCCGGGACCGGACGGGTTTATCGGAAGGTTCTACGCAATATGTTGGAGCATCACTAAGGAGGATTTTATGAGGGCGATGGACTGTTTTTACAATGGGGATATGAGAGGTTTGGACACAATCAATAAGTCTCTTGTCTCGCTCTTGCCCAAGAAGGAGGGAGCCTTGGAGGTGCGTGATTTCAGGCCCATAAACCTTGTCCACGGGGCCATCAAGATCTTTGAGAAAGTGCTAGCATGTCGGTTGGTGGGTGATCTACCCAAGCTGGTTGGAAATCATCAGAGTGCGTTTGTAAAGGGCAGATCGCTGCATGATAATTTTATGCTTGTGCAGAGTATGGCAAGACGACTGCATGCCTTGAGGAACTCAACTGTCCTGTTGAAGTTCGACATATCAAAAGCTTTTGACTCCGTACAATGGCCCTTTCTAATAGAGGTTTTGCATCAATCGGGCTTCGGGCCAAGGTGGAGAGCTTGGATATGTGGGATCCTTGCAACATCTACCACCATGGTCATGGTGAATGGCGATCCGGGTGACACGATTTGCAATTGCAAAGGGCTGCGGTAGGGAGACCCCATCTCCCCTATGCTTTTCATTCTCACTATGGAGCCCCTACAGAGGATGTTTGAGGTGGTCGCGAGTAGACGCGTGCTGGCACCTCTGGCGCGTGAGGGCATGAGAAAGCGTCTATCCATCTTTGCGGATGACGCCGTACTCTTTGTCAAGCCTAATCTAGTGGACCTTGAGGCTTGCAAGTGCATATTGGAGCTGTTTGGTGAGGCGGCTGGACTGAGAATCAACATGAGCAAATCCATAGCTCTACCTATCAGGTGTTCAGAGGAGGAGATAACTATGACATGCAACGCGCTTCAGTGCCCCTTGGGAACGTTCCCAATAAAATACCTTGGGCTGCCACTGTCATTAAGGAAGCAATCAACATCACAGCTACATTACTTGGTTGATCATATGGCCAATAGATTGCCAAGGTGGAAGGCAGCACTCACGCCGAAGAGTGGCCAACTAACCCTGGTGCAGTCAGTGCTATGCGCTTTGCCAATTCATCCAATGATGGTTGTGGATCTTCCTATGAAAACTAGCACGGCAATGGACAAGATTTGTCGAGGCTTCTTGTGGTGCAGAAGAGCAGAAGCGAATGGTGGTAACTGCGCGGTTGCATGGGACATGGTGTGTACGCCGAATTGGGCAGGTGGATTGGGGCTGCGAAATCTAAGATGGATGAATGTAGCCATGCAGGCTCGTTGGCAGTGGCTCAAAAGGACTGATGAGTCAAGACCTTGGAATGAGTTCAAAATCAAAGTCACCGAGGAAGCAAAAATGTTGTGTCAGGCGGCCATGAGGAGTACAACACATTCTGGTCTCACAACACTCTTTTGGGAGGACCGATGGTTAGATGGGCGAAGAGTTCAGGAGATTGCGCCGCGGGTATATGAGCTAGTTCCACCACGAACTCGAGGGATGAGGTCGGTCAGTGCAGGTATGGAGAACGGGTCTTGGGCAATGGATTTTTGTACCAACTTTGGGTCGGATACTTTGCAAGAATTTCTCTCACTATACTGCTTGGGAGGCCTCTGAGGATGCGCCGAATGAAATAGCCTAGTCGTGGGAGGCTAATGGGCAGTTCTCGGTGAGATCAGCGTATGCGGCTGGATTTTGGGGACGCGAGGTCATCCCTACGGCGGATCTGACATGGAAGTCGCGTGCCCCTTTATAGTGCAGATTCTTCACTTGGCTGGCCATGAAAGACCGATGCTGGACCTCGGATCGTCTTGCGCGAAGTGGTCTACCTCACCAGGTTGCATGCCCATTCTGTGACCAAGAGGAAGAAACGATAAACCACATATTGCTCATGTGTGTGTTTGCTAGGACAGCCTGGGTGGCCATTTGCGATGCGCTGGGTACACCGGATTGGACCCCCTCTCCCCAAAACTCACTGGTCGAGTGGGCCGTCGACAAGAGAGGATCGAACAACATGAGTACAAAAGATCTACGCACCATCTTCCTGCTTACTTGGTGGGAGTTGTGGAAGCACAATAATACCATTGTCTTCGAGGGAGCACGGTCATTGATCGAGCAATTATTACAAAGAGTGAGATATGAGGGTTTGGTTTGGTCCTCCGCTGGATTACTGAAAGGGAATGTAACCCCCTTCTTTAGTAGGGTAGAGAGATGGGTGAGTGGGGAGGATTAGCATGTAATAATAACCTTGTAACATATGGTGAAGGCACTCTTTGCCTTTCTTCTTTAATATATGATATGCACACTCGTGCATATTCGAGATAGTTAGCAACAAGCTCTTCATGCATTTTCCTTGTACTGGGCACTGTATCATCCCTTCTTTCCTGATGCCATCTACATTCCAAGGTGTTGCGCAAGCCGTGCGTTACAACATCATAGGACTTAAGGTCATCTTCAAAGCGGACCATCAAACCGCTTGTATCCATCTGGACCATGGCATGGATGTTGGGGAACGTAGCAGAAATTCAAAATTTTCTACGCAACACCAAGATCAATCTATGGAGTAATCTAGCAACGAGGGAAGGAGAGTGCATCTACATACCCTTGTAGATCGCTAAGCGAAAGTGTTCAAGTGAACAGGGTTGATGGAGTCGTACTCGTCGTGATCCAAATCACCGATGATCCTAGTGCCGAACGAACGGCACCTCCGCGTTCAACACACATGCAGCCCGGTGACGTCTCCCATGCCTTGATATAGCAAGGGGAGAAGGAGAGGTTGGGGAAGAATCCGTCGGTCAGCAGCACGACGGCGTGGTGGTGGTGGAGGAGCATGGTACTCCAGCAGGGCTTCGCCAAGCACCGCGAGAGACAAGGAGGGAGAGGGGTAGGGCTGCACCAGGGAGAGGTCAAAACTTATATGTTGGCAGCCCCAAAGACCTCAACTATATATAGGGGAGAGGGAGGGGGCTGCGCCCCCTCTAGGGTTCCCACCCCAAGGGGTGCGGCAGCCCCAAAACCCATCTAGGGCGGCGGCCAAGGGGGGAAGAGGGGGAAACTTGCCCCCCAAGAAAGGTGGAGGCGCCCCCTCCCCAAACCCTAGGCGCCTTGGGCCTTGGTGGGGGGGGGCGCACCATCCCACCTGGGGCTGGTCCCCTCCCACACTTGGCCCATGCTGCCCTCTGGGGCCGGTGGCCCCACTTGGTGGACCCCGGGACCCTCCCGGTGGTCCCGGTACATTACCGATAGCAACCGAAACCTTTCCGGTGACCAAAACAGGACTTCCCATATATAAATCTTTACCTCCGGACCATTCCGGAACTCCTCGTGACGTCCGGGATCTCATCCGTGACTCCGAACAACATTCGGTAACCACGTATATCTATTCCCTATAACCCTAGCGTCACCGAACCTTAAGTGTGTAGACCCTACGGGTTCGGCAACCATGTAGACATGACTGAGACATCTCTCCGGCCAATAACCAACAGCGGGATCTGGATACCCATGTTTGCTCCCACATGTTCCACGATGATCTCATCGGCTGAACCACGATGTCGAGGATTCGGTCAATCCCGTATTCAATTCCTTGTCCATCGGTACGATACTTGCCCGAGATTCGATCGTCGGTATCCCGATTCCTTGTTGAATCTCGTTACCGGCAAGTCTCTTTACTCGTTCCGTAACACATCATCCCGTGATCAACTCCTTGGTCACATTGTGCACATTATGATGATGTCCTACCGAGTGGGCCCAGAGATACCTCTCCATTTACACGGAGTGACAAATCCCAGTCTCGATTCGTGCCAACCCAACAGACACCTTCGGAGATACCTGTAGTGTACCTTTATAGCCACCCAGTTACGTTGTGACGTTTGGCACACCCAAAGCACTCCTACGGTATCCGGGAGTTGCACAATCTCATGGTCTAAGGAAATGATACTTGACATTAGAAAAGCTTTAGCATACGAACTACACGATCTTTGTGCTAGGCTTAGGATTGGGTCTTGTCCATCACATCATTCTCCTAATGATGTGATCCCATTATCAACGACATCCAATGTCCATGGTCAGGAAACCGTAACCATCTATTGATCAACGAGCTAGTCAACTAGAGGCTTACTAGGGACATGATGTTGTCTATGTATCCACACATGTATCTGAGTTTCCTATCAATACAATTCTAGCATGGATAATAAACGATTATCATGAACAAGGAAATATAATAATAACCAATTTATTATTGCCTCTAGGGCATATTTCCAACAGTCTCCCACTTGCACTAGAGTCAATAATCTAGTTCACATCGCCATGTGATTAACACTCACAGGTCACATCACCATGTGACCAACATCCAAGAGTCTACTAGACTCAATGATCTAGTTCACATCACTATGTGATAAACACTCAAAGAGTTCTGGGTTTGATCATGTTATGCTTGTGAGAGAGGTTGTAGTCAACGGGTCTTGCCATATTCAGATCCCTATGTATTTCGCAAAACTTTATATCATAGATGCTGCTACCACGTTCCACTTGGAGCTATTCCAAATTATTGCTCCATTATACGTATCCGGTATCTCTACTCAGAGCTATCCGGATAGGTGTTAAGCTTGCATCGACGTAACTCTTTATGTCGAACTCTTTATCACCTCCATAACCGAGAAACATTTCCTTATTCCTCTAAGGATAATTTTGACCGCTGTCTGGTGATCTACTCCTAGATCACCTTTGTACCCTCTTGCCAGACATGTGGCAAGGCACACATCTGGTGCGGTACTCAGCATGGCATACCGTACAGAGCCTATGACAAAAGCATAGGTGTCGGAGTAAATAGCCATGGGTAGCCTAGCCGGCTTCCCCTGGCCCTTCTGAAAAAATTACGAGCCCGTCCGGCTCTCGAGAATCCAAGACGTAGGGCCGCCTTCCCCTTGCTGGCTGTCACCCAGGCCGGCTTTCAGAAGGCGGCCCGACT